ATTCAAAATGTTTAAAAATAAACTAAAAAAATTAATTTAAAGTGCAAATTAAAATATAACTGTACTGCAACTGTATATGATAATGTTTTGAACTTTTATCGTATGGTAAAAACAGAAGCTGCATTTCATATTAGTGACAAACTTTGGCATTTTTTGATGAGTTACTTTCATTTTTTCCTTCTACTTTTCATTTAAAATAGGTTTCCATTCTCGGCAGGTTTCTAAGGTTCTTCTTCTACAAAAGTAGTTAAATATCTGAGTGGCGCACCACCGCTACTCATGGTGGGAAAGTATATTGCACCTTTTTCAAAATCAATGCGGTCCCACGGCCCTCTGTGGCCCAAAGTTAAAAACTGTTGTTCTTTTGAGGCCCAGGTTAAGAATCTATGATGTACATCATAAATTTGGTCAATCATTTGACATAAAATGGCTTCTAAACTCAAAAGATAAATCAGCCTTGTGTTGACAACTCTTAGCAACGAAACAACTTTATATCCAGTTTTAGGCTCTTTGTTCCAACACTCTGTAACAGCGACACATTTTGTTCCCATTTCTTTAGCTGCAACTATAAAAAATATTAAATAATACACAGTTTGACAAAAAACTGGACTTTTATTGCAACAATGTGTTTCAAAATGAGTTGACAAATTGACAATCTCAATATCGACTGACGGTCCTGTTTCAGAACTTGGCTGGATGGTTTTGTTTCAGTACATGTTCATATTTTGTCCATCACTTGTCAAACTTTGCTTCTGTTTGAACCACAAACTGCACATGATCAGGTAAAAGGACTAGATTGTAACTGAGGGAAAAGGCCGGCCAAACTGAAAAACCTCCAGGTTTTTGAGATCAAGAACTGTTTTAAAGTCCAACACCCACTGTTTTTTTTTTTCATATTACATATCCAGCAAAATATGAGTCATAGCAAATAGATACCTACATCGGGTAAAATGAGTATTGAACACRTCACCATTTTTCTCAGTAAATATATTACTAGAGGTGCTAATGACATGAAATTTTCACCAGATGTCGGTAACAACCCAAGTGCTCCATACTGTACATACAAAGAAATCAAACCATAAATGTCCAGAAATTAAGTTATTTGTAATAATGTGGAAT